CAGTTAAAATAAAGCAATGTACGAAATATTCATGTAAGTTTTTCCTTTTGTAATGCAAACCATCACGTAAAGCTTGGGCCAATTCCACAACTAACCCATACTAAGTCACTAAAAGAAACTTGGATGACCTGCTGCCCATACCAAGCACTGGACAAAAATAAGTATATCATGAACTGGCCACTTAATACAATAACAAAATGAAGTAGCAAAATCTAAACCTACTGCTTTGATTACTGCAGGTGTTCTCTGCAGCCAGAGTGAACACAGCAGCAAACGGCACAGGAAAATCCGCCCCTGATCTTGGATCGTAATGCCGCCACGCTTAATGCTTAGTGTTCCAAGTATTGTAGACTGGCTACGTTACACGGAATACGCAGAACTTTTATACATACTACAGCAGACAGCAATTCCCCAAGTATCTCTCTTCCTGACTTTTTCCCATAGGACCCATGAAACAAAAGACTCTATCACCATTTTGTAATAATAAGTATCTGCAGTCAGTAGCCCCCAAAATGACATTTAAATTAGCCTGTAAAGTCTTATTGTTAGAATACATATAATTTCTGTTAGGCACTGTGAAATACTAGGTGAGGCAACAGACAGACTGAAGGAATGTGGAATTTAAATAGGGTAATCGTGGTTACAGGAAAAGCAAATATCGTGCTGTCCAAGGACTCCTCCTGTCTAGGGGAGGATTCCAGACCACCTCCGGGGAATCACATTCGCAAAAGGAAGGTCAAGAGACCAGAAACCTCAGACAGTCATGCTGTACCAGGTAAAGGCAGCATTAGGTGATTCAGACATACAGAAAAACTGCATATTTTTCACTCTTTTCCTGTCACAGAAAATCTAACCCATAGGGAATAACATTCCCTTCAACTTAAAATGAAGCTTTTCCTTTTCCTTCCCTGATTGAGAAAAGTAATAATACTGTAAAGTAGGAAAACTACTTACATCTCAGCTTCCCTGAAGAGTTTATATTTGGCATACTAGAGATATTTCCAACACCATTCCTTAAATTCCTCTAAAGACCTCTCCCACTTACAGCAGCATTTGCCCAAGACTTCAATAAGGCCTTTTTCTTCAAAAACTTCAATATTCCAAGTTACTTGGAAATTATGATGAAAAATGCAAGATAGTTCTTTTTTAAAAAAATTCCATGTATTCTCCTACTCCATACCCAAAGAACACAAGGTGTATATAATCAAAATATGCCTTTCATTATAAAAGTACTCTGAGATCCTCTCACACATCTCTCCTAAAAAATTCAGGAAGATATTTCTTATTAATCAGTAATTACATTTGTTTATGTCATCCCCTTGCACACTTAACCAGTATATTCACTTAGAAAGCTATGGGAAAATAACAATGAGTTATTTCTACATGCTAGGCACTTCATTAACTGTATCACAAGAAAGTGTGAAAGAACTAAGGTTTAATGCCAGCTCTGCAATTTTTAGCTGTGTGATATCAGGCACACTATTCAAATACTCTCAGTCTTAATGTCACTATACTTAGATTGGGAATAATAACAGTTACTCATAAGGTTACTCTGGGGTTTAAACTAGTTAACAGTCATACTAATTGCTTAGGAACCCTAGTTAGCACCTAGTGTTAGATGACTATAGCCAGTGCCAATAGAACAGAACTGAGAACCAAAACTACTGCAGAAAAGAAAACCTGGCTACAATTCTTGGCCAAGAGCTAAACAGTCAAATTAGTATTCTTTCAAGAACCTTCAGCCTAGGGCTGACATACTTTTGGAGGGAAGGTTTCAGAGAACTATTAGGGGAAAAGCTACAGGGCAGATTGGTCCTAACATAAATCCAGTGGGTATGAATGGGACCAGACTGACCTGTGGAATGCAGTAGTTGACTCAAGTTGGCATGTAGAAGCAATGCAATAGGGTTTGCTTTGAAAAAAATGCAATGTTATAAATTGTTATTACTACATACATACACACATCCTAACACACACATACCTGCCCCCAAGCAGAGATGGATTTATATGTCGTTGCATGGCTGAATAGCAGAAGACAGAATAGATGAGTGGGTAAATATATTGGAGAAAACAAGGAATGTGGTAATAAAACTAGACGAGAGAGGCCATATAGGGTGATGGGTAAGCATTCAGGCTCTAAAAGCAGAATGCCTGGTTTTAAATCTTGGCTCCATCACTTACTTTTTGGCACAAACTCAGACAAGCTAAATAACTGCTATGTGCCAAAGTTTCCCACTATGTAAATATGAATTATATTAGTACCTGACTGAAGGGGTTGTTGTAAGGACTGAAAGGTTAATTTACATAAAGCACTTAGAAAATTGCCTGCACGGAGTAAGCATCAGTTTCCTAGTCTGTAAAATGGAAACAATAAAATGTATTACTTCACAGGTTGTTAGAAGAATTAAATAAATTATATCTATATAAAGTGCTGAGCACATAATAAATCAATACTTGGTATTTTTGTTAAAACATGGATGGGTACCAAAAGTCATTTTCAATCCAGAGAAAAGTATTTCATAATGGAATATAACAGAAAATATTGTGAAAAATGTTATTCTCATTTTGGTGTTGAATCTATTTACTGGAAAATCATGAGTAACTTGGCATACTTATCCACTTTCCACTGTATGAAGCACATGTGAGTAATTCCATCTCTTAGATCTGGCAAAAGATTTAAGTCACAGACACGAAATACAAAAGACCAAAAAGAAAAAAAAAAGAGGAAGAAAAAGAAACCACAACTAAAACAGAAATTTTGAAACACTATTCCTCTCAAAATTGTTTCACTAACAAAAAAAATCTAGTAACATAAATACATCATCGAAAAGCTATTTATAATTTTACCTGTAGAGAAAAATGATGCGAAGTTTAAAAAAATGGGCACTCAAAAATTTTTGTTGCAACAAGCCTGCTAAAGAACAAATATTGCCACCAAATTCAGAATTTAAAGGTCTATTAATTGGAAACCACACAAGCATAACTAATGTTTAGTCCATAAAGAAACCAGGAGAGTATAGAAGTCAAGGGAACCAAGAGAATTTCGAGCAGGCTGTGGCCCACAGTGCGCCCACTGCTTGAGAGGCGAAGGCAACATCTGGAAGGCAACAAGGATAAAATTGGCAATCTTGACAAAATCATTATATGGGGTGGTTAGCAGTGTGGAAAGTCCAGATAAAACACAGTATATCCCGGGAAATGATCTTTATAGAGAGAAGAGCAAAAACAAAACATGCATCACTAACTTTGAGTTAGGATAAGCTTTCCCAGTTTGGAGAAACTCAAACTGGTATTTTTTTCAAGCTATAATTTAAATTCTAATAGCAAATTGAATCGGAGATTTATTCTACAAAGACTATTACTGGGTCACCCTCTGACTCAAACTGAATGAGATAACTTTAATCTTTCCATTTAAAAGACATTAAAGCACAAAAGTTTAAGATGACATATATGAAAGTTCAACCTGAATGATGTTATACTGGATTCTAGTGATGTAAATGTTATCATTAGAATGCCTCTGTACCAAAAGATTCTTAGCTAGCAATGAAAGGAAGATTTAAGGTTATCATTTTTAGAAATATGATAGCAAGGATTACACAGACTAGAGTTTAAGAAACCACCTGTAAATTCTTCTGACCAGTTTTGAATGACTATTATTATCATTTATCCATTCACCCAGACAGCATTGCCCAATAAAAATATACAATGTGAGTACATGCATAAATTTAAATTTTCCAGTACTCAAAAAAGTAGAGATAAATAAAATTATTTTCAATACCTTTATTTAACCCAATATCCAAATGAATATTATCATGTCAACATATAGCAATATGAAAATTAGTGCTGAGATATTTTACATTCTTTTTTTCGTACTAAATCTTTGAAGTCTGGTGTGTGTTTTACATTTGCAACACATCTTCACTTTCACCAGCCTTATTTCAAATGCTCAACAGCCACTTGTGGCTAGTGGCTGCCATACTGGACAGTGCAGATCTAGAACCCAAGTTCCCTGGAAATAGGAACAAGGGTTGTCTTGTTCACAATTGTAACTGTAGCATTAAGAGCAGTGTCTGTCACATAACCACCCCTCAATGGATGTTTGTTGAATGAATAAAAGAACAAATAAATGGTAAATGAATTTATCTATTGACTTCATACATATGCATGCCCCCAAAATTCTTGAGAATAAGACCATACATACTACACATGTCTTGCCCATGGGATGCAAGAAGTGTTTGTCAAATGAATTAAGATATGAATGAACAGACTATGAAGGCTGAAGGATAAGACACACAGAGATCCTCCCAAGCATGAAGTAATGGGTGGGGTGTTTTTACATCTTTGGAAATCAGACATAGTATATTAACATTATAACTTATGTTTATGTGTGTATAAATATGCTTGGGTTTAGATCTAAATGCATACATAAAAACATTAAAAGATAATAAAATAAAATTTTAATTAAATTATTAGAACTATTAAGAGAAGCATATAATTATATTCAGTTCAATTCTAGCTGAGATGATGGTTTAGTAATATATGGTTAGTCAGAATAAATTCCTAAATAATGGCATAGTTTCAAATATATTAATAGTATAAACACATTTTACTATCAATAGGGAATGTTCTTCTATAATAACTTTAAACCTGACTTTCTTAAACATTTAAGTAGATCAAAATTCTGTCATACTTCTCTTGTAAAACCAAATAAATTATAGCTTTTCTCTCTGGAATGAATGCACTCCACACTCATCAAATACACACAATGCCTACATATTCCACTAGCATTTGCAAAGAAATGCTTTTTGTCTTAATGTCCAATTTATTCTAAAACTGGCAAAAGACTATGCCAAATAGAGTTTCAAAGCCCTGACAGAAAGTTAAATTATATTCATTATATTTTAAATGTTTACCATCAAAATACTGAGATTACTTATTATAAATGCAAGAGGTTCTAAATAGCTGGTGTTTAATAATAAAGGTTAGGAAGAAAAGCTTACCTTCTCTGCTAGGAGCTCCCTTATCTTGCTTGCTTGAACTCTAAATTTCATGAGCTGGGACTCCAGAGCTACGCATCGTTCTTTCCAGTCTACTGGTCCTTCTGTCTCAGAAAGCTCTGCCATATTTCTTCTAGAAAAGAAACATTCAAATGGCATAATACCAATTAGCATTCAGGAAATTCATTAGATCGCCCAATGTACACATTCTAGTCACCATCTAAGGATATCTAGATACGAATTTTGTATTCAAGGAGAAATTCCAGAACTGGTAATAGCTCACCAAAAGGACTTACTTAGTGGGAGACGGTGAGCCAGGGTTGGAGGCCTCACTGTGCTCATTAACTTTCTACAAACCTAACCTTTCTATGTCACAGCATGTTCAGTCTAGAAAAACGGGGACATGATCATAGTACACAGTTCTTCTTCATGGGTATGTTATGAGGAAGAAATTAAATACTGCTGTTTTTAACAGCACTTTAAACAGTGTAATAGCACTATAAGCAGAGCACTATACTGATTTTAGCTCTGCCCAACAGATAAAAATTTTAAATCTATCAGCTCATAATTTTACCACATCTTTAAATCCACAGAATTATAATATAGATCATATATATTTACAGAATTGTTATATATGTTATACATCCATTGTTAGCATGATAGAATAACTTAAAGAAGCTTTATACCACTACTACAATTAAGGCTTGGATATATAATTATCACTTATCACCATCCTAAATTCATGCAAGTCCAGGTTGTTCTTCAAAGCAAAAATCCATTATTTAACTGGCAAAGAATTATAACCCTAGACAAGCTTACATAATTTTTATTTGGTGCAAGAAGAGAAAATGTGTAAATGTGAAATTTGGAATCACCTATTGTAAGTAAATAAATCTGGAATCGGTGTTTTCCATATTAACTTTCCTTTTGAAGGAGATTAGTCCCACACAAGCCATTTGATAAGATGTCTTGATATTTCTGAATTGGTCTTGCTATGAACTGATAAAATTTTCATTAGAAATGGATCTCCTGGAGGAGCCAAGCCCCATTCATGGGAAATATGTGACAGCAAAACTCTCAGAACCCAAGGCTAGTACTCTAGTTGAAGGTGTACTATTCCGTTCTTTTGCTTGACAAAAATATGTCTCCCTCACATACTAACAAAATTTATTTTCCCAATATTTAGTATAATATAACCCTAACCTATACCAGTTTTTAAATTCACAAAAGATTATTTTCCTGGCATAAATAGTGTTTTATGTTTCAATCAGTTTTCACTCAGTATTCAATACTTATATCACTCAAGTCCCTGGCCGGGTAGCTCAGTTGGTTAGAATACCATCCTAGTATGCCAAGGTTGTGAGTTCGATTTCCGATCAGGGCACATACAAGAAGCAACCAATGAATGCATAAATAAGTTAAACAACAAATATATGTGTGTGTGTCTCTCTCCCTTCTTCTCTCTCTAAAAATCAATGAATAAAAAATACTTACATCACTCAATAATTTAGAAATAAATATAAACAAAATTGTCTTTATTAAGAGCACCACAACACGTCAAAGCCTCTAGTTGCTCCTAAGTTCTCACCATAATTTAAGGGAAACTTATAATTGTAACGCTAAAAATCATTTTCTTTTCATTTCTTTTGTTTTTATAGAAGCCTCACCTCATTGTTTTCTGAGTTCTTTTCCTAATGATATTAGCCTTGTTAATGACCTTTTTCATTATCCACATTAGCATTTACTACCAAGGATGTAGGAGTAAGTAATGCAATCCATCAGTCACAAACTTTTTCTCCATTCTACCGCTACTTCATTTCTCTCATTAGCTTTAGAGTGGACAAGGGAAGAAAACATGGATGAAATATTACAAATAAAAAGCGGTCCTGCCTGGCTGGCAAAGCTCAGTGGATTGAGCGTGGGCTGCAAACCAAAGCATCGCAGGTTCAATTCCCAGCCAGGGCACATGCCTGGTTTGCAGGCCATGGCCCCCAGCAACCACACATTAATGTTTCTTTCTCTCTCTCTCTCTCTCTCTCTCTCTCTCTCTCTCCTTCCCTCCCTTCCCTCTCTAAAAATAAAATAAATAAATCTTTAAAAAAACAGTACTGAAATGGATATCCTTAAGTCTTGAACCACTTATATCATTGCACAGAAATGTAGGCACACTCTTCTAGAGCAACAAGAAGAATCTATTTCATGTTGGTTAATTTTTGCACTACATTTAAAATAATTTGTTTATCTTTTACTGTAAACTTACTACAGCTTTTAAAATAACACCAACATGTTTTTAACAAATTAAAATCAATCATTATAATTCACCATATGAATAGAATAAAACACAAAGACCACATAATCATTTTGATAGATGCAGAAAAACACTCAACAAAATTCAACAGCTTTTCATGATAAAAACATTTAACAAACTAGTTAATAGAAAGGAACTTCCTTAACCTGATAAAGAGCATCTACAAAAAGCCCTCAGCTAACATGGTCAATGACTGATCCACCTAAGATAAAAAATAAGACAAGGATGTCCGCCTTCGCCACTTTTAGTCATGGTTGTACTTGAGGTTCTATCCAGGGCAGGAAAATGAAATAGAAAGCATCCAGATTGGAAAGGAAAAACTAAAACTACCTCTATTTTCAAATCTCATGATCTTATACATAGAAAATTCTAAGGAATCAATAAAAAACTACTAGAACTACTTGAGCTCAGCAAAGTTTCAGGATACCAGATTAATCCAGGAAAAAATCCAAACACAAAATCAAGAATATATTCCATTTATAATAGCATCACAAAGAATTCAATACTGAGGAATAAATTTAACAATAAAAGTATAAGTCTTGTACTTTGAAAACTGCCAAACATTACTGAAAGAAATTTAAAGAGACCTAAATAAATGGAAGACATCACACATTCATAGATTGGAAGACTTACTACTGTGACGACATTAACACTTGCAAATGGATACACACATTCAATGCAATCCCTACCAAAATTCCAACTGCATTTTTTGCAGGAATTAACAAGCTGATCCTAAAATGCATATGGAAATTCGTGGGACTCAGAAAAGCCAAAACAATCTTGAAAAGCTAGAGGGCTCAAATGTTCCAATTTCTATAAATTTCTGAAGTTACTATAAAGCTACAGTAATCAAGATTATGTGGCACTGGCATAAAGATAGACATTGGATATCTGGAATAAAATTAAGAATACAGAATTAAAACTTCACATTCAGTTGATTTTTGACAAAAGTTCCAAGACCACTCAGTGGGGAAAGAATAGTTTTTTTAAAAAACAGCACTGTCAGCCCTGGCTGGTGTAGCTCAGTGGATTGAGAGTGGGCTGTGAACCAAAGTGTCACAGGTTCGATTCCCAGTCAGGGTACATGCCTGGGTTGCAGGCCATGGCCCCCAGAAACTGCACATTGATTGATGTTTCTCTCTCTCTTCCTCCCTCCCTTCCCTCTCTAAAAATAAATAAATGAAATCTTAAAAATATATATATAATGTCAACCACATTGTTTGGAAAAAAAAAACAGCACTCTCAAAACGAATCAAAGACCTAAATGTAAAAGCCTACACTCTAAACTTCTAGAAGAAAGCACACAAGTATTTGTGACCCTGGATAGAAAACAATTTCTTAGATATGATGTGTAAAGCATAAGTAATCAAAGAAAAATAGATAAATTGGACCTCAAACAAATTTTAAACTTTTGTGCTTCAAAGGACACCACGGAGAAAGTGAAAGAGAGCCCAAAGAACTGGAATACTTGCAAATCCTGCCTCTGATAAGGGGCCTGTATTCAGAATACATGAAGGGCTCTTACAACTCAGCAACAAAAACAACTAAAAAGTAGCCAAAGGGTCTAAATAGACATTTCTCTAAAGAATATATACAAATAAATGGTCAATAAACACTTGAAAAGATGTTTAACATCATTAGCTACAAAGGAAAATGCAAATCATAATCACAATAACATACTACAATGCACCAAATAGGATGGTTATAATAATAAAGAAGACATGTAATAACAGTGTTGGTGAGTATATAGAGAACTTGGAACTCTCACACAGTGCTACTGGGAACGTAAAAATGGAACAGCTCTTTGAAAAATAGTTTTAAAGGTTCCTCAAAAGTTTTAACATCAAGTTACCATATGACACAGCAACTCTAACGCTAAGTATATGAGCATTTAACTGTGAAAATTGAATATGTAACTCCACACCAAAACTTGTACACGAATGTTTATAGCAGCATTGTTCAAATAGCCAAAAGGTAGAAATAATCCAAATGTCCATCATCAGATGTACTTGGGCTACAATGGATGAATCTTGAAAACATTACCCTAAGTTCCAAGTGAAAGAAGCCAGACATAAAAGGCCCCATATGGTGTGATTCCATTTATATGAAACAGGTGAATCCTAAGAAACAGAAAATTGGTTGGTGGTTGCCAAGGACTGTGAAGAGGGTGCAATGGTGATCCATCTGGGGTTTCCATTTGGAGTGATAAAAATATTGTAGAATTACATGGTGCTAATGGTTGCACGACCTTGTGAAAATACTAAAAACCACTGAACTGTATACTTTAAAAGGGTAAATGTAATGGTTTGTGAATTATACCTAAATTTTTTAAAAGTATGTATTTACAAATGAGTAAAGAAAAGGTAAGAATTTAAGTGAATATTTATTAGGTTAACATTTACAAATTTAACAATCCATTGTTTGCAGTTATCCCTGTCAAAGACTGCATCATTGGCCCTGGCCAGGCAGCTCAGCTGGCTAGAGCATCGTCCGGATACGCCAAGGTTGTGGGTTCAATCTCCAGTCAGAGCACATATAAGAAGCAGCCAATGAATGCATAAATAAGTGGACCAACAAATCAAAACTTCTCTCTCCCACCCTTTCTCTCTCTCTAAAAAAAAAATCAGTCAATTAAAAAAATCTAAAAAAAAGAATTCCACCATTAACTCAAATAATTTAGAGATCATTCTTAACCTCAAATACAACAAAAATCAGACATATATCTTTCTAAGTACTTTGCTATGAAAATGACATAATATATAAATTCTAAGTTAAACATGCCTATTCATTTCTTTGGCTATCTTAATTACCTATTTTACAGTGAAGTAGCAGAACCTTAAAATATTACTGGCATTGAATGTCTACATTCCCTATTAATAGGATCATAATCTTTTAAAAAATTCAAAACTAGATTGGTTGGTTAATGATCTGCCCCGAGGTCTAGACGCCTGATTTCCTCATTTCACTCTGTAACTTCAGTTAGTATGAAGTAACTGCCATCATCTTGATGCATCATCTTGATGCATCTTGTTGATGCATCATCTTGAATAAGATTCTAATTTTGAACAATATCCACTATCCTTCTCCATTATCACTGATTTTATAGAACCAATTATATACCTTTGGGATCTACACCCACTTGTTAAATAAAAGTCATTACTAGGTTGAGTTTGAAAGTAATCTCTCTTCACTGCAGTGGACAGGAAAATGGCTTGGTTTTCCACATGCCCCCAGTGACTTTTGGAAATATTTACTGACACAAAATTAACTGTTTACAATTGTGGAGTGAAAGCTCTTTTTCTCTGAATCTTTGACTTCCTGTTTCTCTTCCAAATCCCAAAAGGGAAAGAAAAAGAAAAGAGTGAATTCATCTACTTAGGCTTACCCTGACGAAGTTCAGGGTAGCCACTCATATTCTTTAATTCTCTCCTTTTAGGCAACAGCTTAACTTGGCCAGGTAACTGTGTATTTTTGTTTTTGCCCCCTAAAGCAGAAAAGATGTCTTTCTTGACCACACAGAGACGTGCCTTGTTTAAGGACCCTTCCGACCACCACCCAGTCCCACTTGGGCAAAGCTTGTGCCCTTCCGTAGCACTGGTCAGAACAGCCCTGTTCCTCACCCCACAGCTCCTGGGGGACACACATCGCTGAGCGATCGAGGGTTGAGACGGGCATTTTCACAAAGAAAGTAGTGACCTGCAGGTAGCACAGCACCAGGAATTTTACAGCGCAAATGGTTTAAGTTCTATTTCCATTGTGTTTCGAACATCAAAATCTGTGGTTCAAACGCTCCGTCTTTTTTTATAAGTGGTGTAGTAACTTCAAGGCCAGGGCAGTTTCATGGTGGGTCACCTAAGGGCACTCTGATAATCCGGCAACAAAAAAGGGGTGCAGAAAAAGGTTCTCAAAGTTTTGAAAAGTTTCGTCCCCTAGATCACACCGGGACTCCCAGGAAGCCGAGGCCAAGCCGCAGCATCCCTAACTGCGTGGGGCACTCGGCCTGGAACGCGAGGCTCCCGGGTGCGCCCCTTGAGCGCCCCCTCCGCGCCACAAATCCGGGCCCCGTTTTTTCGAACAAAATGTCACGAGAGACTAGGGAGAAGGAGCCACTGGCCACCGCCCCCAAATGAGACCCTGGTCCTGGAGGCGGGTGGGAGGTGAAATCGGAAGGCTGCGGATGGAGGCGCGGAAGCGTGTCCTGCGCCAGCCCTTTCCATCCTTGGGGTCCCTGCCCGCCGGCTCCACCCATCGCCCCCATCCTCCGCCCAGGGAGACCCCCGGCACCGCGCTCTCTCAAGGGGGCGGTGATACTCCGGTATCCGAGGCACCGAAGTCGTCCCTTAGCCTCCCATCAGCCTACCTCTGCTACAGGTCCCTGTGGCTGCACCCGAAGTCTCAGCCGCGTCTGGTGCGGGGCTCCTGCGGCTCCCGGGGCTCCCCGGGCTCTCAGCCCGGGACCGCCTCACACCAAGCCGGGAGCAGGCGGGGGCAGGACACCGCCTTCTTCTGGGACTGTCCGCAGGAGTAGCCAATCGGAGGTCGCATCTCAGCGCTAACGTCACCTGGAGTTGTGGCTATAACTTTGACTCCTCCCAGTCCCTAGAGCTGGAGCGAGTTTTGTCCTGGAGCGTCTACCCCTAACGTTCGCGGCACCTGGAGGTCAGAGCCTGTTGTAGAGGCCAGCTCTTTCCAGAGTTCCTGCCTCGACTCCGCACCCACCTGTTTGACGCCCAGTCTGCAGCCTCTCCTGCCAATCCGTGTGTCACTTTCTTGCCAGGTTAACTGTTCTGTAGTGCAGTTTTGAAGTACATCCTGCCGAAGACTTTCATTGACGTCCTTTTGCCTAAATTGTCCTGAACAGATTCCCTAGTCTAGTATTCAAGGCCTCCATCCTACTTTTTCAGCTTTATTTTTCACGGCTGTATTTTTCACACATCTAAGATTGTAGCTTTGTGCCTCCCTACTCCAGGAGAGCCCTTTTGAAACATTTATCTATTTCCTATGTTCACCTTGAAAGTTCTAACCTCTTTCAAGACATAGTCCAGATGATTTCCCCCATGCAATTATGCTTGTGGTGTCCCCACCTCTTCTCTTGTTTCTGCTCCCTGAGCATTAACGCTTTTACTCCTCTTGTCCCTTAGCTCATTCTGCATCGTGTAGTGCCTTTGATCTCTCCATTTGACCTTGAGACCTTTGAAATTAGAAATTTTCTTTCTTTCGCATCCTCCTGAGCATTCAGCACAGAGAATTGCACAAGCAGATGAGTGATAATCTTAGCATAATTAGATTTTACTTTCCAAGGTGGGGTCCAGACAGAGAAAGAGAGAGAGAATTCTGAATGTTATGGGTAATTTTTCCCCAAGTTCACAAAACCAGGTCTTAGATTCACAATTGGCCAGTAGAGGATTTCAGAGGCTTTTTCCACTACATTTTTTTTTTACTAAAACTCATCTAACCTTATATAGAAAAGGCACAAAAGAGATAAAGATTTACAAAGTTCCTTCCAGAGAAGGCAACAAGTAAATGTGATTAAAACGCCAGTAAGCGAGGATCAGGCTTCCATATTTCTTCCAGATGAGCACTAATTTTGGACTGGATCCCAGACTACCCCCACACACCAAATTCCTTTTGCCTTCTGTGGGAGCTGATGATGCATATCATATGAAAAATTGTCTCTGAACAGCTTTGGCAAACAAGCAGGCTGGACGGGGTGTATTTTACAGAGCACAGAGGAGTTAAGTAAACAGAGTTTAAGTAACTTGCGTAATTTAATACAGCAAGTCAGTAGAGACCAAAGAACTAAGAGCAGGAGAAAGAGAAAGAATGCCAAAATAGAATCAGTTCCGTTTGTGAGTCAGAATACCAAATAGACTAAGAGAGCTGAGTGAATTAAGTCAGTCATGACAGAAGCTTTCTAAACGCTGCTACCACCCATGCAAGGCTCAGCCAGCATTTACTTACTGTCACCTTTTTCTAGAAACATGACGAATTGAATTTGTTTGGCTGTGGAGAATACAGAAGAATGGCACCCTGTTTCTGGCTGTGCTAAGAAAAATGTGTGGTACAAGGGAATATTATTTAGCAATAAAAAGAAATGAAGAGCTGATAAATGCTACGGCAGAGATAAAACTTGAAAATATTATGCCCAGTGAAAGAAGGCACTCAAAAATGATCACGCTGTGTGATCCTGCTTACATGAAGTGTCCAGAACAACACATTTATAGAGACAGAGGGTAGATTAGCGGTTATTAGTGGAGAGTAGGAGTGCCGGCTAACAGAAAAGGGGTCTCCCTGGGGAAAATGAAAACATTCTAAGACTTGTGGTGATGATGACATGATTCTATGAGTATACTAGAGGCCATTGACAGGTATGGTTTCAATGAGTGAATTGTGTGTTATGTGAAATATCTCAATAAAGGTATTTTGAAAAAGAAAAATACTTGTTGAGCTTTATGTTTTCCATATTTAGTAGCAGCAGTTGGATAATATCTCTGACCAGCCCTCATGAATGCAAATACTATGTACTTTGTTTCACCTCAGTTGTAATATTATATTTATTTCTGATTATTTGCTTGTCTGTCCCTCCTCTCCCCTTACCCACACACACACACACTAGACTGCAATGAGAGTAGAATGGTCTGTTTTTCCTCTTTACTATATATCCAGCACATGGCACCGTGTCTCCCATGTGGTAGGTACACAATACATGTATGTTAAGTGAATGAATGAAGCCGTCAAGGGATATGTATTTTATAAGGTGCTTGTAACAGTCCAGGCACTGTACTAGGTTCTGAGGAATGCCAAATGAGCAAACCAGATACAGTTTCTGTCTTCATGGAGGAAATATGCACATTCATTAACTATCCACACAAATCAATACAGGGGTGGGCAAAAGTAGGTTTGAATTCAACCACCTCAGGAGACACTGGGGTTAACCCAAGCAAGTCACTGAAATTAAGGTTTGTTTATTGATTTTCAAAGACTACCACAATGTGTAAATAATGAAGGCCAGTAAGTTGTGCAATTATAAGATTGTACCTAAGTGCACTGTGCTATTATGACATTCTTTTGAGTTAATAAAGCTATTGCACTAATCATAACCTGCCTGTCTTTTTCCATACAAACAACTGTAAACCTACTTTTGCTCACCCCTGCATATAACTACAAATTGCATTAGATGTTTTGAAAGAAAAGCACAAGGTGCTGTGCAACTGAAAAATAAAAGGATTTGGCCCGGTCCTAGGAGTCAGGAAGGCATTCTTTGAGAAAAAAGACAGTTGAGCTGAGGTCTGAAGGAACTGGCCAGGCAAAAGCAAAGGGATCAAGGAAAGAGTATCCAGGTTGTGGAAACAGCAGGTACCAGGCCCTGAGATGATGAGGAGCCTGAGACATTGGAAGGACTGAATGGAGGTCAGTGAGGCAGGGACACAAGAAACAGCAGAAGAGAGTAACAGGACATAGCTGCAGAAGAAAGAGGGCTAGACCCCCTGGGACCTTGAAGAACAGGGCTTCTTAAACCTCACTGAGGATCTTGTTAAAATGCAAAGTCAGGTTCAACAGGCTTGCGACGCAGACCAAGATTCCGTATTTCTAACAGGTTCCAGGGACATACTTTGAGTAGCAAGCCTGTAACTACATTATTCCAAGACCACTGGGAATCCACCGAAGTGTTTTAAATAAGGACGCTACAAGATCAGGTGTGGCAGGAGGGTAGAGAGGGGATTAGAAAAGAGCAAGGGTGGATTCAGTGTGAGCAGCTGGGGAACTATTTCAGTCTTCCTAGTGAGGGATGGTGGTAGCTGGGGACTGCTGGTGATGGGCAAAAGCAGGGAGTGGCCAAAGCTATGTTCGAGGAAGCTCTGTCTAGCAGAGTGGAGAGACAAGCTGGGAGAGGGAAGAACAGTTTGTAGGCTCAGGAAGTAATTCAGTGAACATCTGAACTAAGATGTTCATGATGAGAAAATACTCTGGGGGGAATAGATACAAACAGTAAACAACGGGTGGCACTCACAACGCACCAGGTGCTGTTCTGAATACTTTAGCATATATAATCTCATGATAACCCTGTGTTGTAGGTGCAATCAGTGTTCCTATCCAACAGATGGGGCAACTGAGGCAGAGGCATTCCATAGCTGTCCCAAGGTTATACAGATATTTAGTGGTAGAACTGGGCATTCTAGCTTCACAGTAATCTCTACTCTATGCTGTAGCTCAACCGCTTTCAAGAAATTAAATCTACAAGATCTAACAACTATTTGGAAGGGGAGAAGAGGAAGGCCTTGGAGGCTTTGTGTGACTGGGAAATGATGATGCCATTAACTGAAGTTGAAAAGGAATTAGTTAATGGGAAGAAGAATGGGATCCAGCTTGGATGTGCTGAGCTCAACCTGAGATGTCAGTGATATATGCAGGAGGAGAGAGCCAAAAGAAAATTAGTCAGGCTGAATGGGAGGAAAGGTCTGGGGTTGGGTATATATGTCAAGGTAATCTGCACAGCAGAGAGATTGTTGTAAACTGAAGAATGGTTGTCGACCACAAAGCCACTTGACATACTGGAAGCAAGGACAGAGAGGTTGGAGGTAGTGGGAATAAGGAAGCTGGGTAAACGCTAGGGAAGCAGTGTCTGGCTCTTAAATCCAACTGCACATAAAATCCAAAAAGAAACTAGCAAGGAGGAAACACTGACCTCACTAGAATGAGCTTGTGGCTTCTGGAGCAGAGAGTGAAAAGTCTAGTTCAGAAGTAGAAGCCCCAGCACCTGGGGAAATATATCAAAGACAAGGGGGAGAAGATTGGGGAAAAGAAGTAGGGCTGGCAGGAACAAACTCTCATCAGCTGATGGCGATGCAAGCCGAGGGTAGAGGCCTGGGCACACCAAGATGTTTGTTTACCTGCAACCCAGGAGAGCAGCAACTCAGGGCACAGACAAGCAACCTGGCCCGCCTGTTGGAAGTAGACCAGGGACATGACCTGCCTGGTGTGTCCTGGGGCTCAAGGTATAATGTCCTGCTCAGTCCTTTGGGTCTCCAATAAAGGCAGAAAGTTCTTCGACTTAACCTCACCTTACTAGGTGAGCTGAGCCCTCACTCTCTGGTGTGGGTACCAGCTTGAAGGTGGGGCTAGGCCAAGGCCAAGCCTGATGAAGGTGAGAGTTTGATGCATGCCAGTAAAGACCAAAGAGAGAAAACAAGTGTGTGTGTGGAGGAAACAGAAAAGTTGGGGCATAGAAGTTTGTGGATTACTTATTTTAAGACAAATGAAAAGAGGAGAAGGACCACTGAAGCAGACTGAGTGGTAGTCAGTAATGGCTTGGTCAGGACCCACAAAGTTAAAGAAGAAAAAACACTCACACAGAAGTCACACAAGAAATAAGTGGCCCAGACAGTATTTAAAAAGCATCCAATGTGAATGGATTATTTACTGTGTTTGGAGTTACTAAGTACTTACCAGGCAGAGGCAGCCATTCTGGTACAGGTCCTTATTACG